AATTACAGAGAACTCTTACGACAGTTTTATCTTGAGAGATGATTTTAATGCCAAAAATATCATCTGGGGCTCGCGATTAACAACCACCAAAGGTAGGGAATTGCATGCAGCTGCAAATAAAATTGGATGTGACTACCAGTCAACAGGAAAACCATCCTATTGGCCAACCGACAGAAATAAAATACCTGACTTACCTAGAAAAATACCCAGAAACTTTTATTAAAATATAAAATAACTTTGACTTGGACTCAGATTATTTCCCGGTGAAAATGATATTAGACCCACATTGTGTAATAACAAGACAGATTGGGTAAGTTTTAAAACTAAATTAATAGAGTACGAGCTGGAAAAAATAGGTCATTGACATATAGCAATCTTCATGGAACAATACACCAGAAATTACAAGAAAAAACGTAGAGAAATAAATAAGGGAAAAGCAAGAAAAAAATGGCAAATAACCAGATTCCCTGGAGATAAAGTAGTTCTCAATAGACTAACACAATAACTACAACAAAAAATATTTATTATTAAAAATGAATCAATAGACATATCTCAGAAAATTGACAAACGATAAAAGTACTGATTTTTGTGGAAAGCGACTAGAAAACTTAAACGTCCAATAGTTCATATGCCATCAATAAAAAAAGACAACGGAAACTGGGCAAGATCAAATAAACAAAAAGCTGAAGTCTCTGCAGATCATCTCGGAATTTTTTTTCAATCAAATGAACAAGAACTTGATTTATTAAAACAAGAGAGCACAAAATGGTAGAAATTCTTAGGGTAACGTTTAAAGAAGTAGCTAAGAAAATCAAAGAGAATATTAATTCTAAGAAAGCACCCGGGTATGATCTGATTACAGGTGAAATACTGAAACAATTGTGGTTAAATTCACTAATATTATAAACGCTGTATTTCAAGATTAGTGCATTAGAGCATCTGGAAAGTCGCTAAAATTATAAACTTTTCGAGAAAACTTTTACTAAAAAGATCGAAACCACTCATAGACAGTAAAAATATAATACCTGACCACCAATTTGGATTTAGGAACAAGCATTTCACTATTGATTAACTCCACAAAATAACGAATGAAATAGAGAAAACAGTGGATGACAAGTATTACAAATTAAAAATTAAAAAAAACCCACTTCAAAAACGTGCAGATGCCGTCACCACATTTTAACCAAATTTATATGGGACCACTCCTGAGGTACCCCCTTACTAACAAAAAAAGAATCGTATAAATCGGACAAGATGATAAAGCATTATCGCTAAACATACATAAAAAATGAAGACTTTGAGGATTGTCTCATGGATACAATTATTAGATTTTGGCCAAATTTATATGGGACCACCCCTAAAGTAGCCCCCCCTAAAGTAGCCCCCCCCTAAAGTAGCCCCTTTCTAACAAAAAAAGAATTATGGAAATCGGACACCGTGTTAAAAAATTATCGCTGAACATACATAAAAAATGAAGAGTTTGAGGATTTTCTCATGGACCCAATTATTAGATTTTGACTAAATTTATATGGGACCACCCCTGAAATACCCTCTTTCTAACAAAAAAAGAATCATTGAAATCGGACACCGTGTTAAAGAATAATCGCTGAACATACATAAAAAAAAATATCGTGACGAATTGATAACCTCCTCCTTTTTTGAAGTCGGTTAAAAAGAAGATCTGCACCTCACTCTTTCTAGATTTAGCTCAGGCTTTCGATAAAATATGCTTAGAGGCCCCTTGAATATAAAATAAATAAACTTCTACATAGTCAATATTGTGATATCTTAAAACCTTACTCGACTGATAGAAACTTCCGAGTAAAACAATCAGAAAAATATTCCAAACTTAAACAAACTGAAGTAGGGGTACCTCAAGGAAGTGTTCTGGGGCCAGTTCTTTACCTGTTGTTTATCTCTGACATACAACAAACAAAATGTGAAAGTAGCCACATTTGCCAAAAGACAGTCATACCTTCCATTGGTAAAACCAGAAGAACCACAAGAATCGACCAGAAAACTTGAACATGCAACTAATATAATTTATGAGTGGACAAAAAGATTGCGCATTAAGTTCAACGAAATTAAAACAGTTTAAGTTAACAAAAGATCAGTAGATTACCTACCAGTGACATTAAATAATACTAGAATACCATATTCTAATTTGGCATAATACATAGGCATGAACCTGGATATTAAATTAAAGAGAAAAGAACACAAAGACAAACGGGAAGAGTTAATTATTAAATATAGAAAATTATACTGGTTGATGAATAGAAAATCAAAACTTTTAATATATAAATAAGTACTGAAACCAGTATGGACTGACGGCATACAGCTCTGGAAATGTGCCAGTATAACTAACATAAAAATTACATAACGTTTTCAGAACAAAATATTGAGGGCAATAGTTAACGCCCCTTAATATGTTAGGGACTCAGACCTATTAGATTAGATTAGGAGTTGGACGTTATTTGTCCTTGTCCACCGCGACCTTTTCAGATCTATTGTGGGACTCCGTTTGTTTTAGAGTATGTCGTCTAGCCTGGTCTTTTTTTTATTAGACTTAGTAGCTTTAACAGTGGCTCCCGCATGTAGTTGCATGCAATTGGCTTTTCTTCGCCCCATGTTAGAAACCTCATTCCAGCCAAGCCTTCACATTGGCACAGGACGTGGAATGATGTTTCATCTTCTTCTTCACAGAACCTGCACAAAGTTGCTTCTTCTGCTGGATTTATGACACTCATATGCCTTTTGAGGCGACAGTGTCCAGTAAGAAGGCCTACTGTTATCCTAACGATTTGACGTTTTGGATCCAGTAGGTCTTTCGTAAACTTGGCCGATGGTTCCTTGATGAACTGTTTGGCCTGTCTCAGTCTTGGATAGTTGTTCCACCATTCCTGAGACTCCTTTTGCATCCATTGTTTAATGGATGCCTTGCACAATGCCTTAGCAACTCCACAGAAGGGTTCAGGGCCTGTCATGGCCTTATCTGAGCCTTCTCGGGCTAATTCGTCGGCCTTTTCGTTGCCCTGATATCCCTCATGGCCTGGAACCCAGGCTAAGGTCACCTTATTTTGACTACTTAGCTCTGTCAGGTCTTCTAGACAGTCTTTCACCAGTCGTGATTTGATTTCTGATGAGAGAATTGCCTTTAGAGCTGCTTGGCTATCAGAGTATATGGCAGACTCAGACCTATACAGAGATCTGAGAATGCCTACAATCGAAGAAGAGAGGAAAACCATCGCAAAAAACATGAAAAAAGAGTGCATGATCACGTCAATTTTAAAGTACATTTCCCGAACAACCGATATCTAATGAGAAGGCTCAGAAGGACCTAACCATATTGACGTGAAAGGGTGTTAAAGCAGAGCTCAGTGCGCGTGTACAGTGTATAGTTATTAAAACAGAAAAAAGAAGAAACCATTGGACGAACTCTTAGTTTTAAGCCTCTTTAGTTTACTTAAGTTTATAATAATGACAAATTGCTGTTTGGCTGAACTATAGTTAGATGCAATGCAAACTAACAAAAAAATCTTCTATTTCGTTTCTTTTTTCCTCTAAACTGACTTACTGAAAATATAAATTATTAATTTTATTATCAATTCCAAATTCCAACGCTGTTAGTATATATTCGATAATAATAGCTTTGATAGAAGATAAAATTGTTGCTGACAGATGTGGACTAGACCCCAACGAATTAGTTCAGCCTAAAACGTGGAAAAAATAAATAAAAATTGAATTCCTGTTCCCTTTAGGTCCACGTTTTATCGGCCATGAAAAGGTGAAACTCCATTTTATTTTTTATCAGGAGCCCATTCCCGGGTCATAAAACGGTTATAAACGACTCTTACTAAGAAAGACACATAAAGATGTAGTGGAAAAGGTCTATATTGATTTTCACTTCAGTGGGTCATTTGGAAAACTATAATAAAAATAAACATAAAGTCATCGTTACGGTTTATCCAGAATTTTCCCAATCAAGCCAATCAAGAAATATGAGATGAGAACTGATGATTTTCAGATTAAACGCATAAAAGTCGGGATTATTGGAGGTACTTATTTTTCATTTTCTGGCTTTATAGTGCAATTTTATTGGTATCAATTATTATTACGTGGATTACAGGCTATAAAAAATAGGGAAAAGAGATAATTAAATTTTAATTACAATATCCAATGTCACAGTTTATTAGATATTATTAAAATTACGTTTTATATTTTTAATTTGTACTTAAATAGGTAATTTATTTAATTTAGTTCTATTTTAATTAAATCATTAAAATGAATATGGGAAATCTATAAATTTTCCATATCCAAAATAATTAACTAAGTAACAAATAACAAAACGATGCCGGTGAGCCAGATTAATTTTTCACTTCATCATCAATTTATTTCATTAAATCGCACTTTTCTTTCCAGCAGGTATTCATCAGAATGTATTCATCAGATTAAGTTGAAATCATATGAATAACTTTAAAAATAATTTTAAACCACTCACCTCTATTTCACGATGCATTCGTAATTATAACTGTACTTCAAAAAAGTTTCTTGTATATTATTTAAAATAAATAAACCGGTTTTCTTCATTTGTTGCCTTCATTTAAAATTTCAATACCAAGATATAGACTACCTAACCTAGTAGTGTTTGCATCGTGTCTGACGTCTCTCTTGCACCATATAGTAATCAAAGTATGTAAGTGATACCTACCTTAATGTATGTTCAGTTTGAACAACCCAGCTATTAACCTGCAAGACTGCAAACTTGGCTGTTGCCATATGGCAACGCTAGGCGTTTGCACTCGGTAATATTATGGCAGGCATGGTTTTTTACTTGCAGAAGTGCTTGATATAGTTTATAATGACGATATTCAAGTTAAAATTTATATTGAGCCAGAAGGACTTTATGTAGAAACAGACGAGGACTCAGCCGAAAATAATAGCGGGTAATGAGCAACAAATGTCCATAGAATTTGCAATTTCTAAAGGTATGTTTTTTTTAGATTACTTGAATACCTAACATCCCATCAATTGCGAGGCCCTGCTGAGATAAGACTGCTTTATAATGAAAGGTTGGGCCCACAATACGAAACTAAAGATAATATTGACGTAGAACCTGTGGAACCTCAGGAAACCGCAGTCTCCCCATACATACATTTTCTAAAATGCAGACGTAATCGAACAAAGTTGTTCCTATGTGGAAAAAAGGAGCAGACTTCGCAGTTATACGTCCATGATATTTCCGAGAACCCGATTATTCAAGATATGAGCAAATGTCTTAGACCGGAAAATATGAGGACCGCATTCTGTATATACTTTTAAACAAAAAAGCTTGCAGATTATGAGTCTGGATGTTGCCAGGAAGTTAGTTTCTCCATTTATTATTTATACCCCATCCCCTTAGATATCAAGTAAATGGACTAAACAAATGCTTTAGAACCATTTTAATAAATGTTAGTGGCAATATCCAATTGCTTTTTATGATTAAAGATACTTATAGCTAGTCAATTAAAAAGAGAAACGAAAAACTTAAAAATAGAGACAAAAATTGTTAATGAAAAAATTATTTTATACGAAAAAGCAAATTTTAATATAAGTCAACCAAAAACAAATACAAATAATTATACTTTTTAATTTTGACAGTTAATATTAATAAATTTGTTCAAGGAAATACAATTAAGTTGTAATTTTTTGTAAGAACTAACCCTTGTTTGACAATTAAGAGCTCTTTCACACGAAGATACTGTATGCGAGATACGCGTATCCGAGATTCAGGCTGACCATACATTCAAATGGACCTATTCACACGGTACCGGCGACGCATACAGTATCGCGATACGGAATTTCTGTATCCCGGCACCTTCAGCCGCGGATACTGAATGCGCATGCCGCATACAGAATTACTATTACGATATATGGACCTTTTCAGACATGGATACTTTTACAACGGAGATTATATCATAGGCGCAGGATTTTTCATTGGTAGTTAGGTATCCTGAGTGCATTTAGTTTGATAGTTTAATTAATTTGAGAAAAGATTAAATTAGATGCATGAAGAGTTTTTTTTTAATTAGTTCACGAATAAAAATTAGCCTAAACTACAAAATTTTTATATTCTTTACCGTCTTTTCTACGCATATTGTATGCTCAGTCTTTTAATATTAAAGTAATGTACTCTACAGATGCATTTGCGTCAAACTCGTACATTTTTCTTGGTAAAACAACGCATGAATTGGTTCCAAATTGATTTATGAGTTTTGACTGTATTAATTGGAATATTATTTGATTATCCACCCTATCGAAAATATCACATGGATTACTTTTTCTTAAAATCTCGTGACTTTTTGTAAAAAATGCAAAAAACCTAAAAGTTACTTATTTTTTACCCATACACCAATTTTCAACTTTTTTTTTATTTTTTCTACCAATTCATTTTAAGGTTACTAGAATTTACGCTAACCTGCATAAATTAATCTATTTACGCGATGCGCTTCTTTTAAATGTTTTTTTGTTAAAAAATATTTTATACGACTTGGCTAAATTCCAGTAACCCAAAACTGAATTGGTAGAAAATAAAAACTTGACACGGGCTATATGGGTAAAAAATTAAAAAATAATAAGCAACTTTTTATTGATCAATTTTTCGAAATTGCCGTTTTTGCAATTTTAGGAAAAAATGTCATATTAGACATTTAAAAAGGTCACGTGTTTGTCCATTTGCATGTCATTCGTTATCATTTTTAAGGCAATAGAAGATGGCAAAGTCAAAATTCATCTACAGCATTTACAAAAAAGCCTATACGGTGTGCATTTTATGTGGGTCAGTGTATTATATGCATCAGTAAAATGCACTCTTCTAGATCCATAATTCAAACCTATGCACGCCACTGTGACTATTTTAGTACTGATTGAAGAGATGCGTGAATTCGATACAGCAGCCCAAGTTTTCGACTGCGATTCTGTATCTTGGATACGCGTATCTGGAATACAGTATCTTCGTGTGAAAGAGCTCATAATGTCAATTTACAGAGCTGAATCAACAATTTTGGCAACGGTTGCTTCGTCAGTTGCCGTGTGTACAATTTACCATCTTTTGTTTCATAGATTAATAAGGTGTAATCAATAGGTTGTAGTAGTGTTTGTTGAGCAATTATCCATATACGTTTGTGCTAAAACTTTTAACAGATGTAAATGTAGAGCATCTGATGTGCAAATTACTTTTAATAAATTTAAAGCGAAACTCATATTTTAAGAAATTAATTTATACCGTTCATTATAAGTTCATCAGCAAATATTTTTTTTAAATATAGCTGCAAATGCTTTCTAATTCTGTTAACTGTTTAACACTTAGGTACGAATTTCCTAAATATCATACAAAATTCAACGATCGAGCTTTTAAACCATTTTTTATTCAAGTCCAATCTGCTAGTTGAATTTTAACCAATTAGAGAGTGTAATGCTAGCAAAATACGACAAATGCTTTGCCAAGTGATTGAGCAGCCAAATGACATCCAGAAGAGAATTTCTTCTTATAAAAACGGTCGAACCATAGACCTAAACAACCTAGACGTGCTAGCTTATTCCAGAAATAAATTCCCAGGATGTAAAACATCTCTATCGGCGCTAAGAATTAATTATGTATATGCAGATTGGATTTTTACTGCTTGAAATATATGACAAATCATCCTTGAATTGGTTTAAAAAAGGTTCGAATTTAAGTCAGTTACTTCAAAAAACTTGAAAAATTTTGTCAATTAATCAAATCCTTCATAAATATATAACTGGCAAACTTCTTTTACATGTGCATATCTAGGAGAAGCAGTACACAGAAACTGAACTAGTTGTATTTTATTTTTGTGCTTGAAAAGAAATTCTTAAAATTAGTTTGAATTTATGCGTGATCATTTGAAAGTATAACTTTTTTAATCATTTCGTCTTTACTCCGTAAAGTTGACTCCAAATATTTTATCGAAATATCATCATATCTATCCAATGCAGCTCTATGACAAAACAGCGCAAGACAAAATGGCGCAGAACAAAATGACGCAAGAACAGAATAGCGCGCAACGAACAAGATGTTTTTTTAAATAATGAAATTCAATGAAATAATGCGTTACAAATACTGTTCCAACGACGCGTTTGTAGAGAATGTTTAAAGTGTAGCTCCTTTTCTCTCACATTTTAGGATCCAACCCTTTTTGGCGCGAAACAATTTAGCGCGGGACAAATTTGCTGCGACAAATTTGCGCCGAGACAAATACATGAGAGACAAGTTAGCACCTAATATAAAAAAAATGAGACCAATTAACGCCTAGTCTAGTTATAATTAACGCAGTAATTAAATAAAACAAATTTCTGTAATAAAACTTTTATTGATTCTAATAAAAAGTTACATTTTGTAAGAAACTACCAAAAATATTAATTAATTTCTAGAGCACCACATTTTCAAACAATGTCAAATAAGTCGGAAATTATCAAAGATGGAAATAGGAAATCTTTATTAAATTAAGATCATTTTTAAGAGTAGAATTTAAAATTAAAAAAAAAAATATAAGGCGCCGCATTTAAAAATATAACTTTATATTGGTATTCTGGTTTGGGACACTCTATATATTAATATGGTTTGTTTTATATGACTTAAATGAAACCATATCTTTTATATAATTTAAAAGAATATGAGCGCCAATTATTTATTTTATCTTCCCGGATAGCGTATTCATAGACAGAACTTACTATTAACTGAAATATTTTTAGAGCAAACTCTTTTATCTCTAGGTAGGGTTCAAACAGTTGTTCGTAGATGGGGCAGCCTGCTTTTTATTTTTAATTTGATTAATATTAAATAATTCTTCAAAATGTATTATTATGATTAAAACACACCATTACATTATTGTATTTATTTAACTATTAAATAGATTAAATGCTTTTCCTTTTTTTTATAAAAAAAAACAATACAAGTATAAAAATCAATTATTATATTCAAACTTGCCGCATTATCCCTGTCATAACTTTTCAACATATGACTTGACAGACATTCAACAGTCATATACAACTAAAATGTGGTGGTTAGATCTTATTATAATAATAATAATAATCACTCAGCTTTATTATAATATATTAATGACAATAACTCATGAAGATGTTATTTAACATCATGGTAAGTACTATCTTTATAAATATTAAAACTAAATATAACCTATCTATTAAAATGTCTTATTAGATTTAAGAATTCTTATTTAAATTATTTTTCTTTGTGTTATGGATATGATCATATCATTAATTAAAGTTTAATTTTAGGTACCTTGGTTGGAGAACTAACTTCACTGCAATACTGGTTTGATGTCACTATTCTGCACACAAGACTTGAGTAATTTTTATTACACTGGAGTTCTTGTTTATACATACATACAGGGGCGGTTTCTCCATTGGTTCATTTGTGCAGTGAACACCCAGTTCAATTTCATAAAGACACATTATTTTAAAATTACATAAATAACATAAAAATATAAATTTAATTTTAATATTTTTATTTTCATACGTGTTAATCTATATTTTTTGGTACATCATTGCTTTCTGGCTGATCGCGTCTCTGTGTCACAATATATCTAAGTAAACCTTGTCTGTGGCGCATTATGACGAGTGAGCCTAACACGAGTGAGATGATTTGACGAATACATATAGCTAAAAAGAGATGAAAACACGCCAACAGATCCTTCAAACTGTCAAAGAACAAATTAATTGGCGCGCCGCTCACAAAGTTTGCTCACAAAGTTTGCCAAACCAGTGTTGCCAGTCTAGTACAATTCACAATTGTACTAGATGTAGTACATTCTGCATGCATCAGTGTTCACGTGTAAAATATATGTATATATTGTGTTCCTTGTTTGGGTTCGTTATCAATAAAGATCCCCTTTTTTCCTCTTCAATGAATTTAGATGTCACTGCAAATAGAATTCGAAAAATCTGGTACATTTAAGGAATCTGGTACATTTTTTAGACAAATCTGGTACATAACAAAAACATTCTGGCAACTATGTACCAAATCAAAGTACAAACTGTCAATGTCAATACTGTCATTCCATCTATTTTAATAAAATTAAGATTATTTTATTTGTGATTGTTTAAAAAATGTGTTTAATTGAGAACTGCAACTTTAATAAATTGGAAGGATGTGTGTTAATGTAATTATTGTTCAAGAAAAACTTTTAAGGCAAGGTAAATAAATAAAATATTTTAAGGTTATATTTTGTTTATTTACTTTATAATAAAGCAGTAATAAAGTTTTACGACTATAATTTGTTTTATATTTTGTTTCAGTATCT